GTTAGTTGAGTCCGTTCCATCAGCTGTTGGCCCCTAGACTGCTTGTATCTATTTCTGCATCTACAACATGAACAGCAGAGTTCCTCACACATAGTCAGAAACAGCTTTTTAAGTTGAAAGATCAGGGGATGTTCTCAGGATATGCCGAAGCGGAGCACAGCCCATGTTCCAAGTCACTTTTCCCTTTAAAAAGTAGCTGGTTGGTAAAGATGATTCATTTGGCTTATAGTTGAGTCTTATCACGTGGTCTTGAATTGCACGTTGTTGAGTCACCAATATTTTTCCCAAGCCTCCAGTGAAGTTTCCTTGGAAAGCTATGCAGTGAGGTGATTCATCCAGACTTTGTAAAACAAAACTGTCCCTTCGTTTTCTTGTTTCAGAAACAAAAACAAAGCCATCAATGCTTGATTGACATAAGCAGAAAAACCCTTTTGTTTTGTATAATCCAGTGTTTTCATTAAGTAATTTGCAGAGTATAGAGAGGAAAAAAGTCTTTGTTGGGGGTGGGGGGTGGCAGAGGCATTCTGCCCAAGAAAATGTGATTAATTTGAGTGGGAAAGCTGGAGCCTCCTACCGTGTGTCGTAGACACCAGCCCTGGAAGAAAGCGCCTCGCAGTAATCAGCTGCTACTGCTTCTGGAGAGAAATCCCGTTTCACGCCACCCACCAGCCCCTAGACAAAAGCATCTCATGAGGCTTTCAGACTAAATGGATTTTAGAGGAAACCTTACGGCAGTGGTTGGATATAATAATATGATAGAATCAAATGTTGGTCTGTGCAATGACGTAACTCTTTACTATAAAATTTTAAAATATTAGGAAGTATGTCAGTGAATTACTGCACATAAGACTTAATAAAATTAAAGCTGAAGTAGCTCTCTCCCCTAGAGAAATCTAGAAATATTTACCTGCAATCCCAAACGGATTTAATGAGGCAAATGGGATTAATGAATCTGCAACGCAGTTCATGCGAGAGTAAAGGCCTCCAGCCCAGATTTGGCTGTCAGCGCTTCCCATTGGAATTCTTTCATGAATTGTGAAAGTGGGTTTAAATTGTGCAGTCCAGATTTTAATTGGAAGCATTAAGAAATGCACCAAGACACAGAAAAGTAGAAACAAGGTCCCACAGAGATAGGATAACAGTAAGTGAATCTCTCCAACAAAGAAAAAGATGCCAGATTACAAATGAGCGCTCTCTCTAGGGAGCAGCCCCCCCCCGTCAGTGTGCAGGCGTGGACAAAGGGGACAATGGACACCTCCTGACACCAGGCTGTGTGTCTGGTGAGCGTCCCCCAGTGCGAATGTTAGCACTGTGTGAGTATTTATTGTGTTTCTATAAAGTCCTAATGAGCTCCTTGGGTGAGAGTGAGACCCTTTGCTCTTTCACACTGTGCCCAAGACCCCTAAACTTCATGGGGTCAAATCTAAAGAAAGGGTAATGGACCATGAGGTCCAGCTTAATAGACCCGATATTAACACAGCAGCAAGAATGTCACCAAATGCAAAGTTTAGGGCAGGCGATGAATGAAGTATTTGTTACACTTAAATAATATATAAAGGTTATCACAGAGTCGTGGCACTCCATCAATGTCATCATCGCAGGTCTTCGAGAATCTGCTGGGTATGAAATAATCCTGTGGCACATCTTTAAGCATCAATAGATGAATTTGCATTCCAACAGCAAATAATAAATCAGAATGCAAAGCCAGGCAGCTGTGGCACCTCCTGGAAGTATGTGTAGGTGTTGAAAGTCCCTTGCCCGTAGAAGTGACCAGGTTCTCCCAGTAGCTCATGCTCACGTGACAGGAATGCAGTGTACGCCTCATGATGATTGTACATTTCATTTGCTTAAATGCACATTTTCTCTAAGTGAAGCAGAAAGATTTTTCTCCTCTAGTGGTCTGGTTTTTTAGGATAAGACAGATGTTCCTTGCTTTGAGATGAGTAAAGAATAACCACACTGAGGATGAGGTCACGAAGCAGAACCTCCAGGATAAATACAGGGCTCTTCCCCAGACCCACAAACCCCTGTGGTTGTTAGTCCGTCACAGTCAGCTAGTCTGTTATTACTGTGATCTTGAGACGGTGCAGCAGAAGCCCCAGGCTCAGAGTCTGAGCCCTGCGCCCCGTGGTTTTGTTCATGAGTCAGCCTTGAGAGCGTCACTTCTGAGACCAGGGACCATCCTAATGGCCTGAGGGCGCGAGCCGGTAGACATCTGTGTGCCTGTTTATCTTCCTCATTCTTATTTTCTGCCAAGTTAAAAGTTTTCTTTGGAATTGACTCAAGTAGGTTATGAATTCTTTGAAGACAAGGACCATGTCTTAATTTCTGCTTTCCATGACTTGATTATCACAAAAGTGGAAAAGTGCATTTATTTAGGAAATTCAGGCAGTATATTGTCAAATTAGTTAGCTGACATATACTGTCACTAACTTCCAGCAGGTTGTTAATGGCTGGCTCTCTGTTCCACTTTCCACTACTGATTTAATTTCTAGGAGTCTTCCCAGCCACTGGTTTTCAGAAGCTATGTGAATATCACTTCAGTATTTGTAAAATTAGACCAGATCAAACAGATGAAAAACCTCACAGGTTTCAGAAAACTAGTTTCCATGTGTAAGTTCCTAGAACAAGTTCATTTACAAACCAAAAAATGCTTGTGGACTCCTTAAGTCCGTGTTTAACTGCTGCCATTTCTCTCTCTCTTTTCTTTTAAATTTATTTCTTATTTATTTTCCAGTTTTATTGAGAAACAGTTGGCATACATCACTGTATACGTTCAAGGTGTACAGCACAACAGTTTGACTTACACATAGTGTGAAATGGTTACCACTATAAATTCAGTGCCCATCACCTCATACGTATAAAATAAAAAGAGAAAGCAGTTTTTTTTCTTTGTGATGAGAACTCTCAGGATTTACTCTCTTGACAATTTTCCTATATTCACACTGCAGTGCAAGCTGTAGTCACAGTGATGTCCATTACAGCCCTAGGACATATTTCTCTTGTAACTTTTTGACCATCTTCCTCCAATTTGCCTTCCTCCACCCCAACCTGCGGGAACTACAAGTCTGATCTCTTTTCCTATGAGTTTTTTTAGTTTGTGTTTTAGGTTCCACATATATGTGGGATCATGCAGTATTTGCCTTTCTCACCTTGACTTATTTCACTGAGCGTAGTGCCTCAAGTTCCTTCCATGTTGTTGCAAATGTAGGATCTCCTCATTTTTTGTGGCTGAATAATATTCCATTGTGTACTATACCTCAACTTCTTATCCATTCACCTGTCCAGACTAGTTAGACTGCTCCCATGTCTTGGCTATTATAAATGATGCTGCTGTGAACATGGGGGTGCAGCTATCTTTTTGTTAGTGTTTTCATTACCTTTGCATATATTCCCAGAAGTAGAATTGCTGGATTATATGGTAGTTTTTATAACTTTTTGAGGAACCTCCCTACCAGTTTTCCATAGTGACTACACCAACTTACAATCCCACCAACAGTACATAAGGTTCCCTTTTCTCCACATTCACCCCAGCATTTGTTATCTCTCATCTTTTTGACAATGGCCATTAAAACAGGCATGAGGTGACATCTCGCTGTGATTTTAATTTGCATTTCCCTAATGAGTATCTTTTCACATACCTGTTGGCCTTTTGTATATCTTCTTTGGAGAAATGTCTATTCAGATTCTCTCCTATTTTTTAATTGGGTTATTTGTTTTTTTGCTGTCAAATGGTACGAGCTTTCTATGTGTTGTGTATACCATCATTTCTTTTTGTTCTCTCTGATTAATAGGGATGGAGAGAATGACATAGCCATTTTATGTTAACTTGTTGCTATTTTTAAAGGAAATACAGAGAAATTTAAAAATGGAAACTAATCAATTTTTTTAATAACACAAAAGCCAAGAGCACTTACCTGGTTATGGGGTTAACCATGAAGAAGGGGCACTAGGAGCCAGCTGACTGTGTGTGGTACAGGAACGTCAGAATTCTGACCTACCCAAGTACATTGCTTCCTCCAGCCTGCCAGGGTCCCTAGGATTTCTATCACTGGAGCCATTACTGTGCATTAAAACATCATTTACAGAAGGCCCATTAACATGTACACAATGTATTTGCCCAGTAATATCCATTCTCTCTAGTATGTGTTAACCAAGTGTGGGACATAGTCCAGAGCAGAATGTCTGAACCGAATGAAAGTAGAAACTTGAGAAAAGTAGGATGTGGAAGGCGTTCTGGGGAACAGGAGGCCCCAGGCCCTGGGCATGGTGGGGGGAAGGCCCCGCCTGACACAGGGGAGGGGCGCTGAGGATGGCCTTTCCAAAACTGGGCCTGAGGCCGAGCTGTGCCTATTAGTGAACTGTTTCTAAATAACTTCCTAAAATCAACAGTTCTTAAAGGAATTTATATTTATACTTTCTGGGGTAAACCTACAAAGTGTGGTTTTGACACTAAAAATAAAGTGTGCAATTCATTTCTTCTGATAGAATTTTAGAAATGAGACCAACACAGACATTAGAAAAGAAATACTTGTACTCTGGCTAGGAAGGCATCAAACAGCTCAGATTTACCTTCTGCCATACGTATACATATACATCTGTGTTTTTGAGACACTGAAGTTAGGAAGTGAAGAACAGTGATACCCAAAATGATGATTTTTAAAAAAATAGGCTTTGTATTTTAGAGTGGTTTTGATTCACAGCAAAACTGAGCAGGAAGTACAGAGAGTTCCCATATATCCTGTTCTTCACCTCCCACCAAACAGCCTACCCCACTATCAACATCCCGCACACCAGGTTGTACACTTGCTACAACCCACAAACCTACATTGACACGTCATCATCACTCAAAGTCGATAGTTTACGTTAGGATCATCTCGGTGGTGTACATTCTGTGGCTTTTAACAAGTGTGTGATGACATATACCCACTCAGTTTCACTACCCTTAAAATCGTCTGTGTTCCACCTATTTTGGCTCTATTATTCTGCGTTCCCACCAGCAGTGAATGAGCATTCCTGTCGCTCCACATTCTCACCAGCATTTAGTGTCATCGAATAGGTGTGTAATGATACTTCATTATTATCTTCATTTGCATTTCTCTAATGACATTATGATGTTGACTATCTTTTCATATGTTTAATTGCCCCCTTTGTGTCTTCTTTGGTGAGCTGTCCAGATATTCTGCCAATTTTTAAATTGGGTTGTTTCTTTTCTTATTGTTGAGTTTTAAGAGTTCTTTGCATATTTTAGATTGTGATCCTTTATCTGATATGTCTTTTATAAACATTTTCACCCAGTCTGTGGCTTGACTTCTCATTCTCTTGACTGTCTTTTACAGAGCAGAAATTTTTAATTTTAATAAAGTGCAGCTTATCATTTATTTCTTTCATGGATCATGCATTTGGCATTGTATCTAAAAAGCCATTGTCTTGTACAAGGCAATCTAGACTTTCTTCTGGGTTATCTTCTAAGAATTCTATAGTTTTGCACTTTGCATTTAATTCTATGATCCACTCTGAGTTAATTCTTGTGAAGGATCACACTGAATCTCTAGATCAAGTTGGGAAGAACTGACATTTTGATAACATTGAGTCTTCCTATCCATGAACATGGATACCTGAGAAGATAAATTTTGTGCATGTATAGATATATATTTATTTGTTTTTATTTACTTATCTAAAGATAAAAAGGAGATGTTTCAATTGGGAAAGTTACTGATACATTATTAGAAAATAGCCTCAGGGTTTTTTTTAAAAGGAACAATTTTTGATGTATTTAATTATAAAAATTACTAAATACCTCAAAATTTTCTTACAAATTTCAAATCTCAAAACAACAACTACACCCAAATTTTCTTACAAATACTAAACAATTCACTTATTCAATAAATAATTAAATATTTTAAAATATTTATAGGTGCCATATACATACAATTTTGCTAAGGATACAATGGTATACAAGACAAAGCATCTCTCCTTGTGAGAGACAAGCTTAGAGAAGCTCACAGTTGGAGGGGAATGAGAAACAAGAGATTGCAATACAGTGTCATAAAAGTTATTGATGCATGTAAATAATACAGGGTGCTTTGGGATCAAATAGTAGGAGCAAAACTTAGCTTGAAGGGTCAAGGGGGGGCTTCCAGCAGAGGGTTCCATGTCAGCTGAGACCTGTCCTCCTTTTCCCAGTGTTTAAGTATTGAAGGACTCCATCTCCTCATCCCTGTCTACATCCAGGATTGAAAAACAAAATGGGATTGTACTTAAAATGCAAAAAATTTGAACGTATTTTCATGAAAAAGTTAAATGTAAAAAACTTAAAATTATTTTTCTAGTTTTCAAAGAAGCTACTGTAAAAATTTCAGAATTCATATAAATGGCAAAATATAAACTAATAACCATCAGAATTTTAATAACATTATTTAATAAAGATGAAATTTTATTTCTTTTTGGAAAATGCACTTAAATTGTACTAAATATTTTATACACATAAAACGATCCGCAGTTGTAGAGTTCAGTGTCCACCTGATTGTCAGTGTAAAACATTGAGTTCATATGTATCCCCAGAACCACAAATCAAACATGAGGAGAAGGAAGTAAATGGACTCTCAGCATGGAAAGGAAATTACTTTCCATTTTGCAAGATTCTGTCCTTCTCTGAGAGGAAGAGGTCGGCAGTTCAGTGTTTCGTTGATCTTTGCACCTCCATCACCCACTTCCTCTCCACCACGAACAGCACCACAAACAACCCCTGCCCCCGACGGCAGTAGGACACCGTGGCCTTCAGGTTTCTGGTCACAGCACTGGAGAGTTTTAACAAGAGTTTTATTCACGAGAAGAGATGTCCAGGGTCACCACTGCTTTGCCAGCCCTGAGTCCTGACCCTGAACAGAGGCGTCCATGTGTTCTTTGATACAGTTATTTTGTGTGTTTGGGACATGGGGGTCCCTCTACTGAGCAGAGCCCAGGGCGGCCTCCCTCCTGCCACGTCTCAGGCTGGTGCTACAGAGCTCAGTCCTTTAATTCATTGAGGCTTTGGTTCAGATGTCACCTTAGATACTCCCAACACACACACATGTGCACATATACACATGCATGCACACACATGCCCACAGAGACACGCATGTGCCCTGACGATTCTCTGGTCTCTCTTCCAGATTCAGTTTCCCTCAGAGTGCTTTTTCCTGCCTGCTGTATGTCATGAATTGAGTTTCCGCTCTCTTCCCGCCAGCTGGGATGTAAGCTCTGGGGTGAGTCTGCCCTCCTTCCTCCGTAGGCCATGCCGGGCAGTGGGGCATGTTCACGGCAGGAATGGGGGCGTCAGCCGGGAAGAAGGGAACACCAGGAGTGTGGGAAAGTCACTGATTCACTGTCGCCCGTGGGCAGTTCGGACAGACAGCACAAAACACTACCATTCTCCAGATCTGTGTGCCCACCGTGAACACTAAGGGAATCTCCTGACGGGAGCTTAGTTTGGGAGCGGGGTGGGGGGTAGGACGTCTGCGCACAGTCCTCTTCGGTTCTCTGCGCTGGGAGCTCGAAGCCGCCTCTGAAGGGCTTCCTCACCCTGTGCCGTTCGCCTCAGCTTGTCTCCATGAGTGGGATCCTCAAGGCACACGGAGATCAGAACAGTCCCCTCCCAAGTGCGCTGACATGATCGCATTGACTCAGTAATACGATGTAAAATTATGAAAATAAGGGTATTTCCTAGCCCAGTGAGACTAGCATGGAAACCAGTCAGCCGGACAACTACAATCTAAGTGCAGAAAAGTGGCTTTCCTGGTGGAGAGTCCTCTTCGGTGTGAACCTCCTGCCTTTCCCTGACTTTTTCCCAATCCCTTCCTTTCCCAGTCCCTTGGCTGCTTTCTCTCAAACTTGTACAGTATACTAGTAAAAAAAGTACATAAAGGAGGACATTTAAAAAAATAGTTATTCTATCATGACTGAAACCAAAAATATATAATTTCCTTATTGGAGCAGTGAAGGTGAAAAAATGTAGGACTTATTCCACTAAAGGGTTTATTAATAACACTCCACTAATAGCACAGACTTCAGGAGGTCGGCAGTTTGGCTGAGACGGTCCCGAGGGACGGACCTCATCAAAGGTTGGTTCCTTTTCTCTATTGATTTACTAAATTGTTTGGGGCATGCCTACGCCAATGGCTTCAAAGCATTTCTCTTTTTACTTCTTTTTTAGCTTTAAAATGTATGCCTTTCCTACAGAAGTCTCATACAACCTTTCAAGCTGTTGGAGATCAAATCTTTTAGTGGCAGTAATGATCGGCTGACGTGAACATTTAGTAGCTATCTGAAGTGTCTGCATCAAACGTAAGTCAAAATAAGAGGTTTCATGTTTTACTCTAAAGACTTAGACTCCTTTATAAATAGACATCACTAATTAATAGTGATTTGGGGTTTCCGAGGAGAATTCTGCCCCCTGGAATTTAAAAATAGGAATCTACAGTTAGAAAATGAAGTAGACTTCATAGTTTAAGGGAGAAAACATGTTGTACAATTCTATATGCAGCTACCTGGGAAAAGGAAGAAAGGGTGAAAGGAAATCTTAGTGGCAGAATCACATTATTTTAGGACAAGAATTACATAAAGTTTGCAAAGCAACTTTTTTTCATGTCTGTGTAGCTCTCGGGGCACAAACCACAGAGTCAGTTGCCCTACCTTCCGTGCCTTTCCCTGCTAAAAACCTCTGGTTGTCTCTGGAGTATGTTTTATTTGACAAGCCTTTATTTAATTAAATGTGCTATCCACTAAGGATGTACAATTTAGTTCACATTCTAGTGGGGAAGAGCTACCTTAAAAAAAAAAAACTACTGTATTTCATACCTAAAAGAATTGTGAACAGGCTCTTGAAGGAACAGTTGTACATCTGTGTTCAGAGCACAGAGTACAATAGCTAAACATGGAGCAACCTGAAATGAACCTTGAATATATCACACTAAGTGAAACAGGCCAGACACAAAAAAGCTGATACTGTATGATTTCACTTTTTTGAGGTCCCGAGAATGGTTAAAATCACAGAAACAGCAATAAGAATGGTGGTTGCTCACGGCTGAGTTTAAGGGAAAATGCATTATTATGCAACGAGTACAGGGGCTTCCATTTTGCAGGCTGAAAATACCTTTGGAGATGGATGCTGGGGATGGTTGCACGTTATGAATGCACTTCATGCCACAGCAGTGTACACTTAAAAGTGGTTAAAATGGTAGATTTATGCTGTGTGGATTTTATCACAATAAAAAATTGTTTAAAAGCTACATTTAAAAATTGTAAGTATATAATAAACAGCATACTGTAGAGTCACAAAAGAAGCATTAATATGTGTCTTAGTTTAATTAATAATATATTCATATATGTGTTAGGTGGGGACACAGCCAGAGAAAGTGTGCAGTGGCGGGGGGACAGGTGAGTGAGGCCTCTGAGGACACAGGCTGCATCAGCACGTGCTTGATCACCTCCGCTTGCTACCAGATCACCCAGCACCCCCACCCCGCTGGTGAATGCACCACCTGATAGCCGGGCTGTGGGCTGTCAGTTGGATTAACCGCCCTCGAGTGGCCCAGACTCCCCCTCACCTGATGATTTTTGTGCTTATCAAAAGCCAGAGGCGTTGACCCTCCATGTTTATGCCAGTTGCACATATTATTTTTATTACTCATCTGAATTAAATATTATGTAAACCAATTCTACGAGAGCGTAAAAAGGAAGGGATCGTCAGTCTGTACAAAAGAATGCTTTCTAAAGGCTCCATAAATTAATCACTATAAAAAATGGAAAATGCGTCTCATTAAGTAAAACACCTCCAAGTAACTGGGAGAACATCGTAAATACACTGGACGGTTTTGTACTCAGATTACTTTGCGAGTGCACTTAAGTTCCCTTACTCTTCAATGAAGTCAAAACCAAAAACTGCAGAATGCAGAGAGAACAGAGGTGATGAGCTGTAGAAGTGTCAATGGACAGATTTAGAGGAAAGGTTCGGGTCTCCGCTGAGGTTCGATGACTGAATGAGGCATTTATACGTTTCAATTTTAAACAGTTAAATAAATGATACATGAACATACATGCATAATGTTGTATTAATTCCCTTTATCCGCCACCCAATCAATCAGAGGTGTGATTTCCCCAAAGACACGACGGTTCACAGCACACTCTGCAGCCAGAGCGCCTGGGCTGGACTGTGGCTGGACTGTGGGCGAGCTGTGTGACCTTGGGGAGATTAATCTGTTTGCACCTTAGTTTCATCCTCTATTAAACGGAGCTAATAATAGTACCTGTCTGGGAAATCTGTTGTAAGGATTCAGTTAATCAGTATGCATACAGTACTTAGAACGCAAAAGGCTGTGCACGTGTTGGCTATTTGGTGCTGTCATGGTACCGGTACGACCAGTAGCCGCTTTCTGCCAGGAGAGAGGAAGGATGGGGGCGAGAGTGGGTCTGGGAGAGGGGCTGGCTGGCTGGCCGCTGCCGCCGGCTGGAGGTGTAGTCTGCGTGGGCGGGGTGAGCCATGGGGTGTCTCGGGTCCAGGGGGTGGCAGTGCTTTCTGCTGCCTTCCTGACCCACCCAGTGCCTCTTGGTCCCTTGGTACATGCCAGGTTTTGAGATGCGAATGAGTATAGAGACTGAGTGGTCTCAAACCCTAAGGAATTCACAGTTTAGTGAGAGACTCTGATGCGTAAACCGTACGAGAGACTGTCAAGAATGCATTAGGTTTTATGTAGGTAAAAATGTGTTAGTGGCTCAAAGAGAAGGGTGCAGTGTTGAGTGCGACAGAAAGTGACCAAAAGCCGATGTTGAGGGTGGATAAAGTTTATCCACACGTGATAGCATGAAATAGTAAGTACCAACATGCACAGTTACCACTCCAGTTAATGGACGAGGTAATCCACAGGCCCTTTTCAAAAGTCAGAGCAACAAAGAAACCTCCTGCCCTTCGCTAAGAGATGTGGGAAGTGTCACTTCTGTGTCACAAGGTCGTGGGTTTTTCTATTTGACTTCTCAATAAAACCCTGAAATATATCATTAAGCCACACCACCTCTCTAGGATTAAGTCATATGACTTCTGAAATATTCCTTTCTTCCACCTTCCCATTTTTTAACTCTCTAGCTTAGACAACTGGCAAGATAAAAATGAACATCAACATGAAATGTTGAGAACAACCAAGAAAAGGCTATCACCGTCCTTCCCTCCAACACAGCGCGACACAAGGAGGTCCCCACACCGCCCCGCTGTGGTGTCACATGTCACGGGCGACGTCGTTCTGGCATTTTTATGTTGTGCCTCCTCTTGACATTGTAGACGTGGGAAGGGGGAGCTGATGTCTCCCTGGATGCTTACTGAAGATTCAAACGGACACTGCGGGGATCCCGCAGTCAGCAGTGGGGCCCAGCTCAGAAACGCCGCAGACGGGTGCTGGAACCTGCCAGACCCCCACCCTGCAGCTTGTCACTGTGGGATGCCGGAAAAGTTACTGGACTTCTGTAAAGCGGACATGAATTCTTATTTTCCAACGTTTCTGGGAGAGTAAGTAAAATAATTAGAATACCTACCACGCTATAGGTAATACATGTTTCTCAAATGAATAAGCACAAAATATGGTTCTTTTCATTCTGTACCTGTTTCAAAATGCCTTCTAAGCTTTTCATTTCAGTAGTAACTGTATTTGTTTACAAACCATAAGTCAGGTGACCTAACATTTCTTAACTTGAGAAATGTGTGACTCACAGCTGTGGAGGCTGAACGTCAGAGGTCAGGCGGAGAGCCACAGCTGCCCCCCACCCCTGAGGCCGTGAGGGGCAGGGTGGTGCCAGGCCCCCTCCAGGCCCAGGCTGGCTTCTCCCTGGGTCTTCATGGGCCTTCCTCTATGCGTGGCTGCTTCTGGATCTTAAATTTCCCCTTTTTAAAGGACACCATCATCTCAGCTTAGATTAGCTAATTATATCTGCAGCTATTTCCAAAGAATGTCACATTCTGGGGGTTCAGACTTCAACAAACACATTTGGGTGGGGAACATAATCCAACCCAAAAGAGTAATGGGGGCTTTGTGCCATAATCCAAGGAACATGCAGATATAGACAATGAATGGCCTCCTTCCCAGCCCAGCCCCGCTCTGCTTTCAGCTTTTTGGAGTGTGCCCTTCCCTGTGTCTTCCTGTGCCCGCTCACACTGACACACACACACACCACATATTATATAGGCTCGTATTTAGCACACACACAGTCCTTTCATAAAAATTCGATCATAAAGCACATTATTTAGCCCCTTGCTTTTTTCACTTCGCAGTGTATCATGGTTATTTTGCTAAGTCAGTTAATAGAGACCTGTAAATACTTGTATAATATTCTACAGTATAAAGAAATAATGACCTATCCATACTTGTCCTCTTGGTGGCTTTTCAGGGCATTTCCAGGATTTGGGGTGTCGGTTTTTTAAATGCAACAATACATAGTTTCACTCAGCTTTATCCTTAAAGCTGGCACTTTTATTTATGTAAGATTCCTACAAGTGACATTTCTAGCTTAAAGATGCACACTTTTATTTGCTGTTACCAGGTGACTTTCTAGTGTTTTCGCAATGCCCACATTCGCCAACAGTGCCTGAGAAGGGTCAGTTCTCCCCACACTTTTGCCAATGTAGATTTGATCTGTGTCTTAAAATTTCTGCCTGACACATAACAAGTACCTGTTTGGTTAGTAAATGCATCTGTGACTACCAGTGAGGCACAGAATCTTGTCCAGTATTAGTGGCCGCTGTGTCCTTCATCAGAGAATTGCTGGGTCCCCTTGTGTACCTGTTATCTTGTGATATGTGATATTCCTTGTTTTTTATCCATTTGCAGGAGTACTGTACATATAGAAAATTAACATCTTCTCATATATGTGCAGTTCTGTCCCAGTCCATCATTTGTCCTTCAACTTTGTAATGGTACCTTTTGCCATTCAGAAATTTTAGGGTCTTATGGAGTTAGGTCTATCCATTTTTTTTTATTGCTTTGCAAATTTTTCTGTCTTGTTCATAGATGTCCCTACCCTACCCACTAGATTCATAATCTCCTTAATATAACCTAATAGTCTCCTTGTACTTACTGTGCATTACAAATCTTTTTTTTTTCTTCTAGGTGAATGTTCCATTACATTGACACTGTGAAAAAGGTAATTCTTCCCTTCCTCACTACAGGGAAATATCAGCGTCACCGTACACTGAGTTCTCATGGAAAGAACACTTCATCGGTTTCTGTGCTCTGTTCTGTTTGACCAGTTTGTTCCTGAGCCAATATCCGTATTATCTTGATGGCAGCAGCCATATAGTCATTTAACATCTGGTATGGCAAGTCCCCCTTCACTACTTATTGTCTTTCATAATTTTCATGACATTTATACACTTTTTCTTCCATATTAACTTTTTTTGAAGTATATAGTTGATACACATTATTATATTGGCTTCAGGTGTACAACACAGTGATTTGATGACTGTATACATTACTGAATGCTCACCACGGCAGGTAGTTACCATCTGTACAAAGATATTACAATATATTGTCGATTCCCTCTGCTTTACTTTATATCCCCATGACTAATTTATTTATGATGGGAAGTTTCCATACTAACTTTAGAATTATTTTGACCAGTTAAAAACAATAGTAACAATGGAACTCTAACCCAGATTGCTTTACATTTATGTACATATTTGGGGCTATTACAATTTTTCTTACCCAGGAGTCATGCCCATCAGTTACGTGAGTTTGTTTTGAGACCTGCATCTGAGAAAAGTTCTGCAACATGCTCAAGGCCTTTCCTGTCTCTCTGGTACAAATTACACAACATTGACCGCCTGCTTCATTCCTATTGGGAAGGAAGGTGATAAATTAAAATACTGAGGTTCCTCTGAACTACACAGCAGCTTAACCATTTATAAGGCTGCCAGATGCAGGCAGAGCTTGGCCAAGCCTGACACCAGTTTATAAGCAAATTGTTAGCTTTTATCCCAGTAAATGGTTTCTTTTGTTTAAAAGACCTAGATAGAGTAAGAATGAGAATAAACTTACACTTAATAAGTACCTGGAAGATTCCTGGCTCAAACTTGTCTTTGCTAAGTTGGAGTTCTGGCATTACAGCTTCAATTTTTGGTATAAAAACTTCTTCTGAAATGTAAGTACCCCTTTAAAGATTACTGCACATATTAGTGTGAATCGGTGGAGTTGCTACTCTTTAAACAGCCAGCTATAGTCTCTGTTGCAGTAAAGTTTTGGTCTTGGGTCATGGTTCATGGAGATGAGGATGGTACGGAAAAGGGCACCACCTCAGAGCAGCCTGGATGAATAGAAAGCTGGAGGCAGCCTGGGAGGGTGGTGGACGGGCCAGCGGACAGCCTGAAGGGACCCAGGAGCTGGGAGATGGGGCAGAGTAAGAGGTGAGGGGCAGACCTCACCAGCTACATGGAAAGTGTGACTCAAATGAGTTCTTAAACATTCCTCAGTGTAACAGCCGGCTATCGGGCACGCACCATCTGAATCCTGTTGATTTCACACGTCTCCACCCTGTTTTTGTTCTTAACAGAACAAAATCAGATTCTGCTCCTCTTATTAAATCAAAGTGGTGATAATATGCCTAAATATATTACTCACTGTGCTTTGTGCATTATGCATCTTTAAACTATTGGGTCAAAGACATGCTTATAATGTTTCCTCAGAAGAAATTGATGGGCAGGACACAAACTGATGAGAGAATAATTTTCATTATAGAGAGAAGTAATGTCACATTATTACTCCAGATTGTAGGATGAAATATCAGTCAAGTATTCATTAACTTACTATGAAGATTGGCATCTATTTCAAAGTTGCCATACATGGATATAATAGATTTACTTAAAACATTCTCAGATAAAGGGGAGGTTATTTTTAAATGTGATACAAAATGTCCATTATTTAGGAGTTTATATATCTCAATACTCTGCACTAAAATGAAGCAATATTTTAATACAAGGAGGTGTCCAGAGCAAATATATGTTATTTGCAATGGACATTTGCCTCCACTGAGTAAACAAAAAAACACCCCTGTAGGAATGGAATTTTGTGAAAGTGGTGTTGGAGCAGAAGTTGCAGGTTCTGTGTACTGTATACAGAACATGATCTGTTACTCTGCTGGGATATCACACATGGTGCAGAAGATGCAGGTAAGATGACTCAAGAACGGGCTTTATGGAACTGCAAAAACCCACCAAATGCAAAGCATTCTGCTCTCACAGACCCAGGGTGCTTCACTGGGGCGCCAATGCAAGGACCGTAAATGCCAACATCAAAATTCACATTCAGTAGAAAACCTCACTGAGGAAGCTTCTTGCAGTTTTCTGTAATATAATCATACCATCTCTAAATCAATTTGTTTTTGTGAATTTAATTTATTTAGTTTACAAGCTTGTTTACTGGGCATAGATGCTAGTTTCGTTTTTGTTCATCTAATGGATTCAAAACATTCTGGACTCAGGGGTTCCCTAAGCGCTCAGCTTGGGGGTGATCCCTTCCCACTCATGCCCGCCTCGCACTGGATGCGGAAAAAACAAGGCAGGAAAGTGCAAATCCCGGGATCTCTTTTAACCATTAAGTCACCCTTTCCTCTCCATAGAACTTGCATTAAACACACTGAAGCATAGTATGAGCAACAGAAAAAAAATGGAAAAGAGCTCCTTAGATGAATGAAACTTAAATTTAAAACTAAACAAAATTACATCCTCCTAGAGCAAAGCAAATGCACACTCATCCTGGAATAAGAGACCCCAAGGCATGTGTTCCGGGTGGAAGGCTGTCACTGGTGGGGAGTGACCCCTTTAAATATTTAGTAAAGAGTCTCCATGGAAAAAAGAAAGCCAAAGAAAGTATTAGCACGCATTTAGTAAAGAATTGGGTTGGCGCGATGTAACTGCATGACTACACTCTGGTGTAAGAGTGCAGGCATGTAATTTGCACCCCACTTGATGCCAAGCTCTGCACTTAAATCAGAAATAAAGGTTGCATGTTACAAAGGCATCTCTCAAAGTGACCCGAAAAATGGAATACTACCTTCAAAAGTATAAAATATGATTTTTTCTTAAAACTAAAAGGTTTATGTAATTGTAAGTCATAATTATATAAATAAATATATATATATATATATATATATTATAATTTGTGTTTTAAAGTCACACAAATGAGGAGTAGGTGTATATATCTATAAAGGCTGTTCTAATTCTTACATCCCGAGACTCTCAGAATCCCTGGTCTAGAATCATCTTTGCTAACATTACAGAAAATCAGAAAATGTTTTTTCTGTACTCTCAGCCCTGAAAAGAAAATTGTGGGGTGCCATTAAACCGCAGCGCCTCCCATCCATTTTTTAAAACGACTCAGCCTTCTTATTTGAAATAGCTCAGAATTACAAAAGACCAAATTCCTCACTGTTTCACCCACACAATTCCCACTGCCTTTTTGTAAGTTGTATGAAGCCCATCTGAAGCTACATACATCCAATTGGAATATGATATGAGTTTAGCTTACTTCCAATTAATATTTATTTGGTGTTAAAGAAATTTCTGTGAAAATGAATTCTAATCAGTGGGTTTTTACTGCTTGACTGTCTACCACTGATGGAGCCCTTAGCATGTGGCAGGCCCCATCTGAGGACCCGGCTGTGCCCAAATGAACAGGATACAGTCTTCTGCATTTCAAAACTAAGAACTGATAGAGGAGTAATTTTTTAGCTCTAACCTATGAAGATATTTATTTGCACATCCTCCATGTAGATTTCACAAGAAAACGTAAAAGGATATCATCGCAATTATTGATGAAATTTGGCAACTGTTAAACTCTCCAACTTGTTTAATCAACCTCTTAGGGACTCAGGGGTCAGTGCACACTTTCAACATCTCGAGTAACATGACTTCTATCAAATTACATTATTTAGACCACACCACTCTCATTGTATGATTCTTTAAAAATGGAGATGACGTGATTTAATAATTCTTTAAAGGCAGAGAGCACAGATGGATTCCAATTCTTTCACCCCCATCTCTTCTTTCTCAGCAAACTTTGGACACGTAGCACATAGCTGGAGGAGGCACCCCAGGTTGGCGCTCTGAGCTGGGGGCCCCCAGCCACCACGCTTCCTCAGCCTGCGCTCTCCAGCCTCCTAGCCCCAGACTAGCCACATGCCAGTCCATGCCCTGTGCATGCAATCATTTCATTTCTATTTAAACCTTTCAATATCATCTTAAAACCATCAGTCCAAAATCCAGACTTGTGGGGATGGCATTTGGGGGCCTCTGTGATTCAGCCTTTCCTCAGCTCCCTCTACGCCAGCTTCGTGAAGTCCCGGAAATCTAACTGCCTCTTTCCTCCTGGTCTTGGCATTAGTTCGGCCTCTCTACCTGGAATTCCCTCCTTGCCTTCTGCTCCCCTGTTCTCACTCACCTTCATGTGTCCTTCCACATGCTGCTTAGCTGTCTTCTTCTCCAGAACCTTCTCTGATCGTCAGAAGGTCAAGTGACTATCACAGAGGTTTCATGCCCATCAAAAATTGTCCCATAGAAACGTGTGCTCCCCCATCCTGACATTCTTTGGTGGCCACCTGTTCAGCTATCCGTTTCCTCAATTATAAAGGCAGGGGTCAGCTTTGTTCACCTTTGCATCTTCAATCCAGGACACACAGGAGGTGCGCAGTGGACAGATACCGAATAAAGAACTGAAGGGTCAATATGCCCTTCCTGCAGTGAAGCCTCGAGGTGGTGACTCACATCAGCATGCAGTTCTAAGCCACCAAACGGGACATTCATGGAGGGAGGGCAGCCCGTACAGGAGATTCTCTTGCTATAAATAATGCAAATGTGTGAGGACAACTGCTTAAGACGTTTTCTTTTGGCTAAGTGTTAAGATATCAATTTGCCTCTGGTTTTTAATTTACTGATGACCAGGGCAATACCACAGATCCGAGAAGGGATGGAGGAGTCGTAAGCCATGTCCCTTTGCCCCAAAGGACACTCGTGGGAGGCTGACTAACGACCAACCGCCCATTGTCTGATACCCTTTCAGGTCTGTCCGCGGGCCCACTGCCCTCCCCAGATGACACCGCCAGCATCCCCCAGAGGGAACACATCTCTGCACGTGACTATCCGGAATTACTTTCATTGCGCACGTTACACAAGGCAGGTCAGTACAAGGGGGTCAAGACCCAGTCTCGAAAAGGAGTCTGGTCACAGCGCCTCCATCACCCGACTGGGCGCCCCTACTCCTGCCCGCACGCACAGCCGGGGTTCCATCCTCATCCTGGAAACTTCCGTTTTCCTTCGTTCGTGCGCTGCTACTGCTTCTAACAGGTATAACTTTAAAAAGAAACCAAATTCAGCAAATGTCAAAGAATATTTCACACTGATTAAAATGAAGGGGATCAGTAACCAGTTCCCAGAAACTATTTCTGCTTTTGGTGACAGGTCTCCACTGGTGAGAGCGATTCCTCTAGCTGGCTAGGATTTTCATGTAAATGCTGAAAACGAAGCAGGGGAAAATATGCTGAAAATGAAAACTTAAAAGACTTTTGAAGTGCTCAAAATAACGATACACAACATTTCCCACTGGGGGTGAGGATTCTCACCAGCCAAGCAGTATAGGTATCTTGACAGTGTCTGTTTCATTCTCACGCTTCAGCAAAATGTCTGCATAAAGTAACTCCATCTCCTGCAGTCAGGTGGCATCGCTGGGAAGAGGGATGCATCGCTGACTCGAGGGCAGTCTCCTCCTTCCAGATTTGATCAGCATTTTTCACTTCTCTCCCCTTAGCCGCAGGATAATAAATGGCATACATAAAGTCGGCCTGAGATACTGTAAGATCATGTGACTTGTAAATCAGCAAAGAGCAATTAGATAAAAGTTGATCCAAGGGTTTGAGCATGTTTTATAGCATTTGGAGCTATAACGACGGGAAAAGGCGCTGAGCTCAGCACCTCAGTCCCACCGGTGCACCTCTCGGTGTGTGATTCGGGGCAAAGCCACAGAGGATGATGTGCCAACATCCCCCCACCCCCCTCCATTCACTGGGCTGGGCAGTGAAAATACAAAGCTGGCTAGGTGAGGGCTCCTGAGAAGTGTCTGATTCTAGGTTTCCTTACCTGTACAATGGGGCTTTCTTCATGAGGGTTAAATAAAGTACATTTTGTAAATGGCCAGGAGCCAAGCAGATGTTAAATGTGATTATAATAACTAAAAATAATGATAAAAATGTGTCATGTTTAGAGGACCTCATTAAAATATATTTACTTTACTTTTTAAAAATCTTGTTTCTTAGAAATAAATTCAAATTTACAGAAAAGTCGCACCTTTAAGAATAGCCATCAACCCAGATCACCTATTTCTAACATTTTGCCCCATTTGCTCACTCTCTCTCTTTCCTTTTCTCTTAATACTTTTTTTCCCTGAACCATTTAAAGTCACATGCATCACGGCCCGTTGCTCCAAGACATTTCAGTGTTTCCTAAGACTAGAGGTGTTTGCTTCCATCACCATAGTATTTTCAACTTTAGTAAACTTACGGTTGACACAGTACTTTGTCTCATTTGTGTCCATATTCCAATTTTGTCAGATGACCCAGTGGCGGTTTATGGCATGTCCTGCCTCCCCCAGGGTGGGCTTCAGCCGATCAGCTATTGCTCTCAGTTGTGTGCCTATTTAGCCTCCTTTAATCTGGACCGTTTTGATACTCTTTTTATCTTTTATGATGTTGAGAGTTAAGAATGCAGTCCTCCTTTAAAAAAAAAAATAGAACCTTCCGTATTCTTCAGTTGTTTTGTTTTTCAATGATTACTTTCCATGTATCACCTGGAGTTGCCATTCCTACCACCGGGAGCCCGGGAGCCATCCCTGCCTGTAAAAACATAACGTGCGCGTGGAATGGAACTGGCCCCAAGGGTGGTGTCGTGGGGGACCCTCCCTGCCCTCCCGGCCCTATTTCTCGCCCTTGCTCTTCGGTGGTCCCCTGGGCCCTTGGGCTGGGGCCCCCAAGGCGGTGTCCCGTCCCGCTGTCTGTGCAGAGCTGGTCATGGCCCGCCCCGGTCTGCTCCCCTCATTCCCACGGGGACCATCAGGAGGCGCTGAGGTCCTGGCAGCCCCACAAGAGGCACCGTCAGTTTTTGCTGTGGGTTTTAAATTGTCCTCCATTCATTCTCCTGCCGCATCCGCCACCTTCCTGGCCGTTGCTCCCGACCAGACAGCAGACTCCCCCCAGTTGCCCACCTGAGTTTTCAGCAGATGACTTCCAACCTTATTTCATTTGAACCTCCCATCAAGTGTGTTCAGCAGGACACGTCACATTCTGCGGACACCAGCCTCTGAGACAGAGGTTCAGACACCATACATGATTTTCCCCACAGCCAGGTGCTTAGAGATGACCGATCAGGCTGCAGTTCCAAGGCTTCCGCACAGTTTGATGCCTCCGTACGGTCCCTTCGTGCCTCCGGGTGATGTGGAGCTCCCGGCATGGCGCCAAGACCCCGTACGCGGGTGCTCATCGGCCTTCCTGTTATGGAAAATGGTAGAGGTGTTTTTAAAGCACATTTAGGACAGACGCTGCTTAGGATTTTGCTTAAGTGATACTTGGCAAACATACAGAATACACTTGTTGTAGCACCCATTTAGCAAGTTTGAAAGAAACTCAGAGCTCTGATAAATTTTCCATACTTAACTCATCAAAAGTAATCTGAGCTCTCAAGAGCAATAGTTTTTAAGAGAAGAACATTTTGCAAGGCTACTAACCTACAAATACACATCAAACAACAGGCAGGAAAAGAATCTAAAATGCCCAACTTTCTTATTAAAAGCGTAACACATGCTCTGTAAAGAGAATTTAGAAATTCACGAAATTTAAAAAGGGATGAACATTAACCACCTAAAAAATGTGGAACTAAGAGATTGACTCCTAAGTGGCTTGAATGTGGCCATGCTGGTCGTTCACAGCCCTCGACCAGATCTTGGATCTCCTGGCCGGTAGTTTTTGTGAGTTATTTATGAATCCAAATACAAAAAAAAAAATCCAATCCTCTCATATAAAACAAAAAAGTGCACTTACTTAAATTATATAGTAAAAATAGATTTTTAGAAAAAGCAAATATGAAATTAAGCAAATGCTTTTCTTAAAGAAAGAAAATTCATTATATGGAGGCTTTACTGAGGAAAATGCAGGTGAGATACGTTTAGCCTCCGGTGAGTAAGAAGGAGGGAGGTGTGTGGGAGTGGGGCGGGGGGTTGTGTTGTTCCTCCAGGGATTTTCTTAGACTGGGATTCAGCGAAAATTTGGGTGCTCGTGACGACGGCACCCATTTCAGGCTGACTTCTGTATATGCTGCAAGGTTGGAGTCGAGGTCCTTTTTTGTGTGTATGGATGTCCAGTTGCTCCTGCACCGTTTGTTTGATGTTCTGGATAATCATGTATGAGATTAACTCCAGAACATCCCGAATGAAAACTGCACACAGGTGACATGCATATTGTATTGCATGTGTGAGCGTTCTTCTCCTAGCAGGAGACTTCTCTAGGAAATAGAGTTAATGTTTCAGAAGTTCACCCAGAGATGAGGAACTTTAAAATGAGATATAAGCAGCCACGTTATTGTGCTTTGTAAATCAGCTCTCACTAGGAATTTTCTTAAGGAAATCATAGGTCGGTGTTAAAGAGAGTAAGATGTGAAGACGCGTAAGTGCAACAATGGCTGGAACTCATCAAACACCCGAGGTGTAAGACTGTAAAACCTGCAGGTCTGTGAAGGAGCTGGTCAGAGATGCTCCGCTTCGCAACGCGCCCGTTCGTGCAGTTGAACTGTTCAAAGACCGTCCGCGGGGTGGCGCCGTGGCGCCGCTGCAGGAAGGCGCCTGTGGCTCCGCGGGGAGGCCCGCCGACCGACCGCGGGATCCTCCAACGCGTGGCTGCGCCACGCAACGTGCCAACAGCAGACAGTCGCCTGCGCGGCGCTGCGGGCGGGGAAGGAAAGAGGCGCAGGCACGTTGTTCAGGCAGGGCCAGAATGGCGGGATTTAAGAGGCCTTGCCGGGCAGGTTGAGCCAGTGGATGGTGGGAAGCAGCCGGCCTTTTATCTACATTCTTAGAAATGTCTCGCCGGGTTTTTTCCTCCCTTCTTATGACTTGATTCTGAGCATGAAAATGGACACGTCAGCCCACAGGGAAGCCCAGGTTGGGCTTCATTGCCTGGTAGTAAAGGTTGGGCACCTGCCCTGCTCTCCTTGTTGGGCACATCCGTCACCGGATGGAAGGACTGGGCAGGACTGAGCCTCAGTGGCGGGCGGCGGGTCCGGATGAGGCTGCGGGTGAGGACAGAGGCAGAGGTTAGCTGAGGCCCCCGTGCGGGAAGAGCGCTGCGCACCCATCACGCTGCCCAGGCCGGGTGGAGTGACGCCTGTCCTCCGGGGAGGTCTGCCAGGTAAGGAGAATCCTCAGGAAATGGATTGCTGCTCGGCGCTTCAACCCACCTGTGCAGACGTGACAAAGGAGTTAAAGAGCTCAGCGGGCAAGTTCGGCTCATCAGGGACCGCGCACTGGGAAGAGGACAGCACCTGCTAATCGAGGACCACGCACATGCCTCACTTTTGCACAGATTCTCTCCAGCATAGAAGAAAAGCTACTCTCAACGTATGGCTGCCCTCTGGAATTATTCTGGCATTCTCCTTTCTCATCTGCAGGCTAAAGAGAAAGATGCTACCAGGACACATCGAGGAAGAAAAAGAAAGAAACGTTTTTAAAATGAACCTTTATGTTATAGTGGACAAAGCACGGGACCAAAACATAAGAAGACTTAGCTTAGAATTCTGGTTCTTCCGCTTTTGAATAGTGGGATTAAGGACAAGTCATTTGGCTTTTTGGAAATGCCATTTATGCCTCCATAAAATAGGGGACTAGTAATTGACAGGTCTGCTGTAATGAAGAGACAATGTAATAGGTGATTTTTGAAAAATTTGCTTGTGGCCATAATTTGCACTGCAAAACTGTCTCCTCCAAATTCCCACAAAGGAACCCCACAAATCCTCAAGTCTATAGCAGATTGGGATAAATACACATGATCACAAAACGCAGCTTCAGGAGAGACCCACCCAGGTATGAGACGAAAGCCACCTGGGAATGGGGGATTCCTGGCTGGTCTGCCCCAGAAGGAA